AATTTAAGCAAATTTTCATCTTTATTGTATCTGGAAATATATATTATGAAAGCTTATATGAAAACTGAGAATAAAATGCTTATGCATTAATTTTGCATGCTCTTTCGGCATCTGTAAAAGAGTAAATGCCACAATTTATAAATGCCGAGCTTCACAGTTATGTCAGTAGGTCAGCTGTTCTTAATGTTTCGTCAGTACATGGTCTGGAACAGGATGAGAAGAACAAAGAGATAGGACAGAGGCTGAGAGGGCTGGGGCCAGGAAAATGGCAGGCAGGAGACTTAGGCAAGCTCCACCCTGGGTCTGGCAGGGTGCGAGCGAGGTGGCTGTGATATCCGGCTCCTCTTCTGTTCCCTTGTGGCCACCAATCTAGCTAAAAACTCTTTCCTCAATCCAGATTCACACAGGATAAGAAACAGGAATTGAGCACTGAGGATTCAATCCCCCGGGTAAAAGGCAGTAAAGAAGGGTGAGGGACAAGCTTAAGTAAGGTCAGCTAGAAGGCACGGGATGCTCCCAAAGCATCTGATTGGGTTGGTTGTTTCCCAGGACCCACAACTGAGAAGAGCTAAGTTCAACCATAACTAATGGTTGTATTGTATTGCCCTGCATACTGCCCCACCCTCCACCACCACCCCAAGCACTCTATACAAGTGTTCAATGAACATTTACTAAATAAACATGTAAAGCAATGGATTAATTTGATTTCCCCTTACTGTCTTTTCTCTCTTAGCCAATTGCTTATCCAGTAGTCTCTCTATCATTTATGAAGACATTAAGTACTTACAGCTGTAGGGGAAAAAGCGCATACCTGATACTTCATTTATCCACTTCCCTCCTGTGAATGCCAAATTACCATGTAATTAATACAATAGCATCTGTTCAGGTTACCCCCCCACCACCTCACTTACAGTCACATTCCTGGTCTCCTTACCTTAAATCACTGCTATAGCCAAAACAATGTGATTCTTGGGAAAGAAAGCAGCATTCCAATCCATTCATGACCCTCCACCCGCTCTCCACCATGTAAGTTAGGAAGTGTTCGGTTACAAGGAACAGAATACCTGGTAACCAGGACAAACTATTGTTTGCCTAATAAACTAATCCTAGAGTTGCTTTAGCCACTCAGCAATGTCAACAAGGACCCGGGCACTTCTTATTTTTCTATTTCACCATCCTTAGCATGTTCGCATTAATTTTTCAATACTGCCTCATAGTTACAAAATGGTTACCACAGTTCCAGGCATCATATTTCATGTGGGAGCGCCCCACACAGGAAACAAGGGGTTGAGGTAAAATGTTTTAAAAATTGCTCTTTCACAGTCCTCCATCTCTTCATCTAAACAGGCAAAACTTGATCAAAAGCTCAGAAGATTGTTTTTCAGCTTTCACTGGCAAGACTTAGGCCCCTTGCCCAATGTTAGATCAATACTGGCAAAACAGGTCTAAGCATTTTATGAATTAACCAATTGGGCATGAACACACTTCTACCCAAACAAAATGGGAACATTTTAGTAACAAAGAAGGGAGTTGTCTATTGAGTAGACAACTAACCATGTCTGCCACACATCACTGAAATGTGTCACTGGGTGTCTGGACATCTCTTCCTTCCTTCCTTCTTTAAACTACTAATCGGCATCTATGCTGTGGCATGATTCTATAATCAAGTTCTGTATATCCCTTCACTGTATGGTCTAGTCCCTTAACAAATACAATAAAGAAGTATATTCCTCTTTAAGAAGCTGTAGAAAAATAAATCAGAATAAAGAAATAGGTTGAGTTCCTGAAATGCTGTATAAACCATATCATACGTCCTTATTTTTTACTTTGCCATTTCAGCTCTGCTTTATTTAATTTGGGGTTGCTCAGTTGCTTCAATGGATAGTTGATGCTGTAAATTAAGTTCCCTAGCCTTTCAATCTGTCAAGAATCATTCAATTCAACATTTATTGAGAGCCTGCTGTCTCTTAACACTTAAGAAGAGTTGCACATGTACAGCAACCCTGAAAATTCTAGAAAGAAGTATTTAATAATATAAATACATCTATAATATAGTTTTGATTTTCAGGTATGAAGTTTTCTTAGAGCAAGGCAAGCCAGTCTTTCAAATTATACATCTTTAAATAACTGCTATGTTGTTCCTTTATTTTCCTATCCATCTAATAGTCCCCTTTCTTACATTTTTTCTGTCTCCTCTGACAGTTACTCCATTCATCTGAATCTATCCATTTATTCCTCATTTTTGAAGTTTAAGCTAACAGATGGAGAAATAGATTACTTCCAAACATCTGCACTGAAACATTTTACCTTAGACTCTTGCTGCAAGTAAAATTGATTTTAATTATATGATTCTGGAAAATTTCTCTCACAGGCACTGTAAGTGAAAATGTTCGGTATAAAAATAAGTTATCACCTAGGCTCTTAGTGTTAAGCACACTCATAATAAACAAATAGCATGCATACTATATCAGTACTATAAATCGACCCTTGATAATAAACAACAGTTTTGACATCATGGATGTTTATGATAGTCATAGTTTAAGTTTCCTGAAAATTTTTATATTTGTGACATTATATTAATTGGATAACTGCACAGAAAAATATGAAAAAGATTGGTTATGTTTACCATTCATTTACTGGGTATACTCAAAGAGCCCATTTACAAGGACTTTAGAGAGATTAAAATGTGGCTACAGATTGTATAACACTATTTTTGCTCATACAATGAGATTTTAGTAACATTTGGGTATTCAGTTATCAGGTTTTCCTGATAATTCCCACAAATAAAGTTACTGAGTCCCCTAAAACCCACAGCATACATGTGTGCACTAATCCTGCACACTCCTAATATGATAATGCCTCCTCTTCCTCTGTCCATCCCTGGGATGTTGGGATCTGCTGCAGGTCTCCCAGCCCAACCACAGCTCTGTTCTCTTTGTGAGTCTCAATTACAGCTCTAACTTCAACCACGATTTAAATGCCAAAAGTCCTAAGTCTGTGTCCATAGTTCTATCCTGCTCATCCCCTCTGAGTTTTAGGATCATATTTCCACTTTCTTTCTAGGTAATCCTTGTATATTCCAAGGATTAACCCAAAGTCAGACAAACTTGTACTCAACATTTTATCCTATAAGCTTATTTCTGTGTCACTGTCTGAATTCAAAGTATTGCAATCCATTTAGTAAATTAGGATGGGAAACCTCAATTACCAAAAATACCTCTATCTCCCTTAACCACTCTCTGAATCATTCACAAATATCTGAAGTGTCTACTTTGAAATCATTTATAAATGTCTCTCCTTTTAGTGTTCATTATCATAGACCTAGTTCAATTCATTATTCTTCATATGGGCCTTGGTCAAAGTTTTTAAAACTGATCTCCCTGCCTTGAATCACCACTATAGCATGCCACTTCCATTCAACAAGTACTTATTGAGCACCTTCTGTGTGTCAGGCTTTGAGTCAGGCAATGAGTAAAAAATCCTGAGAAAAGCAAAGACCTCTCCTCAGTGAACTTAGATGCCAGTTCAGCAGATAAGACAGCAACTAAGTATGTAAACAAGTAAATAAACAATCCACCAGGGGTGCTTGTGTAAAGAATAACTAGTGGGGGATGAAATGTACATACAGCACTCAGGGAAGACTTCATTGAGGCGGAGTCATTTAGAATAAGAGAAGTGGCCAGCCACAAAAGAGAGTCAAAGAAAAGAGCATAACAGAGGTCCACAGCAAGAGTCTTCAAGGACTGGAAGAAAAGCCATGGTAGCCAGAGACTAGTTCGTAATGGGGAAGGTGTATGAGATGAGGTATGAGAGGTGAGTAGAAGTGAAATCACCCACAGCATTATGGGCCATTATCAGAAGACCGAATCTAATGTGAAGCATAATTAGAAGCCAGGGAAGAGTTTTATGCAAAGGAGTGACATAATCTGATACTTTTAAAATTTTGCCAGAATTATATATCTTAATCACAATATAAGTGTCAATCTTCTGCTTCGAAATGTCTCATGGCTCCTGATGAATGAGGTGATCACATGTTCCAGTTTGCTGAAGTGAATCCAGGTTTGCCCCTGTTGTTCTAGTGTAATTATTAATAGACCTCCCCTTTTACTCTCACATGGGTCCTAGTGGAGGACTAATAAATTATATGGTCAACTTACTGATAAATAATATAGTAAAATATTCCTTAGGTTAACATTCAAGGCCCTTCTGGACCTGATCCAACTCACTTCTCTTCCTTTCTCCCCATTACATCTTTACCTTGCGAGTGTTCTGGCCACTCTGAAATGTAATGCTGGTAGCGTTCAGAATGAGATATGTATTTTCTACTTCCTGTGCCTTTGCCCATGGTGCTGCCTCTTTCTGGTTGCTGTGTAACCATTTCACTGATGAGTGGGAAGATCCTTGAAGATCAAACCCAAGAAGCATTCCCAGAACCTAGGCAGAATGAATGGCTTCCTCCTCTGTATTCCATCAATCTATTATAGCATGTGTCACAACTGGGTTAATTATTTGTAGGTCTGTTTTCCCTCCTAGAATGATAAGTACTTAATGGTGAGGACAGCACCTCCTTTTATGTGTTTTTGGGTCCTCATCACCCACCACATTCCTTACCTACAGCTGGTATTGATATATGTCTTCTAGATGAATTATTTAATATAAAAGCAAAATGAAATATATAGTAAGATAATAAAGTTGAACAATGAGATTTTAAAATGAATTTCTCTAGTAACCTTAAAACATTATTGCATTCACATCTAGACTATTTTCAGTCTCTAACTTCATTCCCTCCAAAGTCCAAAGTAACCCCATTCAGAGAAAGTGACAACAAACTTTTAACGAATGATTAGAAGTAGAAAAGTCCTTATAGGGCAAAAAGAAGATGAAGTCTAATTTTCAAGGTTACTAAACAATTTTATGTTTTGGTAATAAATTTCTAAATAATTGTGCAGCTGAAATAACACAGTTTGACACATTACCAAAAGGCAATTTCATATACTCACCATTCTTAAATGATTCCGAACAAATTCTGCTCAGAAGAAGTTTCTGACGTAATTGCAGAACTTCAGCTTCCAAGGCTTCGACTTTTGATCTCCACTTTGACTCCTGCTCAGACACCAACATTGCAAGGTATTCTGTGTATTCTCTGCTGCTTCTGTCTGCTGGTTTTGAGTGGATAATTGCCAAGGCCAAAGCCAGTTTTGAAGTTCTTGAATACCATTTTTGAACATCCATTGTGACTTTTGTTCCTAGCATTTAATAAGAAAAAAAGTTACAGAAATTCCTTTTTATGTGTGCAGTGCATTTCATTTGTTCAAAATTGATTTTGTGGAGTAACATTAATTAATGTTTGTAATAAAACTTGGCACCAAGTAGCAGAAAAAAAATCTCAGAAACCGAAAACAGTATGAGAAAAATATGCAGAAGAAAACTGCATACACATGCATATTAAGTATGTTAAGATTCAAAATAGTAGGTTTATCAGCTTGACAATTTTGGGGGGTGCAAAAACACACATTAGTCATTTCTAACCAGAGACACACACAGAATCTCTAAGGGAGCATTATGAATATATATATTATATACATAAGACTTCTGCTAAGTCTTGCGTTCCTTAATGGGTCTTTAACTGCTATTCCTGACTCTAACTAGCCTCCTCCAATTTACATGAAGAACAATCTTTTAAATATTTGCGTCATTTAAGTTGTGAGTCTGTTCTGATTCTGTGTTTCCAAAGATTTTCAAATGCTGCCATGAGCACACTTTTCCAAACCAACATTGTGTCATAGTCTTACCATGTAAGGACACTTAAGGGAACAACATGACAGACCGCCACATTCATTGGTTTAATACCATCATCCCTATTCAAGCATAATCCCCCTGTGGCCTCCACCATGCTTTATTACATTATCATGAGGGCTTTTCACATAAAATGTGCTAAGTAAAAATTTTTAATGAATAATTAAAACAAAAATGGTGCAGAAAACTCAGGATTCTTTTGTTGCTACACCTATCATACTAACAATTTCAAACTCTTCATCCCACATTTCAAACTTTATTTTTTTCAATTTTTCAAGCCTATTCTTCCCCTGTGGTTGGATCACACTCAAACAGACACATGCAGCCCAGGCTCATTCCCGTTCACATCTCTGCTCACAAATTTTCCCCACCTGTGATGCCTTAATTCTTTATAGCTGCCAAAGCCCTGGTTGTGCACCCTTCAAAAAACAACTCATGTGAGCAAGAGCAAGACCCCGTCTCTACTAAAAAAAATTAGCTGGACAACTAAAAGTATGCCTGTAGTCCCAGCTACTTGGGAGGCCGAGGCAGAAGGATTGCTTGAGCCCAGGAGTTTGAGGTTGCTGTGAGCTAGGCTAACACCATGGCACTCATTATAGCCCGGGCAACAAAGCGAGACTCTGTCTCAAAAAAAAAAAAAAAAAAAAACACTCATATACCACAATATAACATCTTCTCAGATTTATTCCCACCCACACCAATGAAGAACTATCTGATATCCTACAATTTAGCACTGAAAATATAGAATCTAAGAGATACCATAATGCTGTTTTATTATAATCAATAATGAACACAAAAATCTGTATACAATATGTTCATCACAGCATTATTTATAATCTTGAAAACTGTGACTAACCAATAGTTAAGTAAATGATGGCATGACTATGCAAATGAATATTACTTAGTCATTAAAAATTAGATTTTCAGAGTTATTTTTTAGCATGCAAAATTGTTAATGATATGCTGAGGAAAACAAATGAGAACATAAAATCATATGTGCAACAGGACCGCAATTATATGAAAAATGGGAAATATAAAAAATATAATTTATCTCTAACTGTAGAATTATTGGTGAGTTTTATCTTCATTTCTTCATATTTTTCTAATTATCTGCAATAAACACATATCAAATTATAATCAAAAAATTTATAAACAAATAGATTTCCAAAATCAAACACAGCTTTATATTTTCACAGCTGTAGAATACACAAAGGACCAGATATTGTTAATACGGACAAACTAAACAGAATTATAGATCCACTTATTTTAGCTTTGTCAACAACCATTTTACTCGCTGGTTAATCCTACATCTGTAGTCAGTGATGGGAGCAGTGGACTCTAACACTCATTCCTCTCAGAGAAGATCCTACGTGCAGAGAAAAGACACATGGTTTTTAAGACCCACTCTCAGGAAGTAAGCACATTAGTATATACAACAATACTGCTTAAAAAAAATACAATCTATTCAAAGGTGTTTCAGTTAGAAAAGAATCTCAAATTCAATTATGAATGGTGGGAATCTAGGCTAAAAACAAAAAAACTAGAAAACAGTTTATTAGCACAAAAGGACAAAGTTTCTCTGGATAACAAAAACACAGGAAACTCCCTGTCATCCTGCAGAAATGTTTAATTAATTGATTTAATCAAGCTGATTAATTAAATGTTCTGATTTTTAAGTCATTGTATACGATTTGTAAATAGTCTTAAAATTGTGTTGAATATCAGTCACAGAAAAAAGTTCAAATTATAAAGTTCTTCTAGATTGTAACCATATCAGGGTCACTTGTCTGAATATTAATCAGAATTATGCCACAAATGAACAGAAATGATTGCTAATAAAGATGTTTAGCACAGGCTTGTGGGGCATAAATCACACTCAAAACACATATAGAACCACAACATACAACCAAACGGAACCAGATTTTTCAACTGCTTCTTCATGTTTGTGTTTGTGTGTATGTATGTTTACAAATATGTCTTTTTAATTTTAGGATAGCATTTCTATTCTCAAAGTGTCATTTGCAAAATAAAGATAATTCTGTTTTTCGTAATATTTCATAGAAGAAAAGTGAGCTTCTATGATATATTAAAAAAATATATATTTAGCCTTTGTCCCTGGTTCCTGACACAAGCTCCTAAGTCCCTTATAATTTCCTAAGTGTGAGGAGATTATTTTGTTCTAATGAGGTTAACTCTTGACAGGCCCCTAGACAGCTTCAGGATGAACACTGGTTGCCAGAAAGACCAAACCATAATCAAAAGCTTGGAACTTTCAGTCTCATCCCTCAACACTCAGGAAAGAAAGGGGGACTAGAGACTGAGTTAATAATGGATCAAGCTTTTCTGATGAAACCATGACTGAGACCCCTAAACAATGGGGTTCAGAGAGCTTCCGGGTTGGTGAACACATCAAGATGTTAGAAGGGTGGTACACCCAGATAGGGTTGTGAAAGCTTTGTGTACTTCCCCCCCAGTAAGCAGCCCTATGTGTCTCTGCCATTTGGATGTTACTGAGTTGGATCCTTTATAGTAAACTGGTAATAAGTAGAGTGCTTCCCTGAATTCTTGATTTATTTTAACAAGTTATCAAAACTGATGAGGGGGGTTTGGGGAACCTTTGACTTTATAGTCAAGTCAGATACAGTACAAGTAACCTGGGGCCCCCGTGCTTGCAACTGGCATTTGAACTGAGGGTAGTCTTGTGGAACTGATTCCTTGAACATGGTAGAGTCTAATGCCAATTCCAGTTAGTTAGTGTTGGAATTGAATTGAATTGTGTAGCATCTAGTTGGTGTGCAGATAATCAGGTAATTGGTTATTATTATTAGAAAACACTCCAGCTTCCTAAAGATATTCTCTGCTTAATTGAGGAAAAATCAGTAGTAACTTTCAGAAAGCATTTTTAAATTTAATTTATGCTCAAATAATGATAGTAAATAATTAAAATGATCATTTAATGTTCCCCCCAAAAGTATGTAGTGTCTTTGAATTCTTAATAGATTAAAATATAAAAAAAATTAAATCTTTTTAGAACAGAGCAGTAGTTCAAATAGGCTTTCTTTTTCTTTGATTTCAGAGCAGTCCTTAGCACAACAAAGTCCCCCATGAAGGTGCAGAAAATCTAGTCACATTCCAAAACACCCTGGACTTTTCTTCAGGAAATGCATGCAGAAACAAGTATTCTGCAAACACTATTTTGGCAACTTTTATCTGAAATATTTCTCCTGCTCTCATTTTCCCTTATTTCACTTTAATTTGCTATCAACTAGACAATTCTCTGAACTGTCAGAAGTGTTTTGAATTACAATCCCCAAATCTAAAGTTAGTGCATCTCCGAGATCATTGATGAAATTTCTATGAAGAATAAGGCCCCAGATCATTCCCATACAAGACTGGTGGGAGTTTACATTGAATAAGCATTCAGGAGAATATTTTCTTAATATGTATCAAACACCTTCAAAATATATATTCCCTTTTGTCCCAGAAATACAAGTTCTGAGATTTTATCTTAAAAAAAGATCAGAGTTTCATATAAACTTTATGCCCATAAATATTTATAGGATTATTTATAATTACCAGTTAAAAACACCTGTAACCAGCTTAAACATCTAATAATAAAGATTAAATTGTGACATATCATATAATTTAATTGAAAATGTTTTTTTAAAATATTTTAAATTGTGGGAAATATTTCCCATATGACATTAAATGCAGAGTGAAACATAGAAAATGCAGTGAAATTGCAAATTTGAAAAAAAACCTATAGTTAGACATGGATATATTGAGAGAATGAGAGATTAAAGGGGAGAAGGAAGGAGAGACGGAGGAGACAAAAGAAAAAGAGGAGGGAAAGGGAGAAGGAAGAGGGGGCAAGAAAGACTTATTTACCAAAATAAAAACCACCATTGATTACGAGTTAAGGAAATATGAATGATACTATTTTCTTGTTTATACTTTTCTATAGGTCCCAAATTTTCACAATAAACATTACAAAATATATGACAGAAAAATATCTAGTACTAATCCTACAGAAATAGACCCTATTCTATATTTTTCAAAGTAGAAATTGTAGAACATGCAGAAGAATGAAACTGGACCCTTGTCTCACACCATACACAAAAATCAACTCAAAATGGATTATAGTCTTAAACACAAAATATGAAACTGTAAAACTACTAGAAGAAAATATAGAGAAAAAACTGCATGACATTGGTCTTCGCAAAGACATTTTGGATGTGACCCCAGAAGCACAGGCAACAAAAGTAAATATAGACAAGTGAGATTGCATCGAAATAAAAACCTTCTGCACAGCAAAGGAAACATCAACAGAGTGAAGGAACAACCTACAAAATAGGAAAAAAATAGTTGCAGACCATACATCTGATAAGGAGTTAATATATAAAATGCATAAGGAACTGAAAAAAATAAATAGCAAG